ACCATCACCTTGCAAAACAAAACAATACAAGTCCTCATGTAGTTTAATCGAATGGTTTTCAAATTTTTAAAATCTGTTTTGGCCGACGAAAGACAAAAATTTTTCAAAAATGGCTTCAACGATTCAGAATAACTTGAACCGTCGAGAAAATAAAAAACTAGAAAGTATATCATGTATAATAAACATTTTATATACCAGAAGTAAACAAAAAGTAGTATTTTGTAATCTTCACTGTGAATATTTTTTTTGAATAATAACAAATACAGGAATACCTCGTTTAACGCCGAATCATTTATCGCTGTTTCAGTTTACCGCTTCTTTTATTTCAACCCAGGTTTTGAAGGAATAAATGATGAAGATGTCGAAGAAATAATTCAAGAAGCAGGGCAATCTTTCTAATGGTAAGCTCAAGGAATGAACTGAATAAGAAGAAAACAAAAATGTAAACAGTAATTATAGCAGTAATTCAGCAGAAAAGCAAAAAGAACTTTCGATGGTGTTTGTAAAAAGGAGTTTGTTTACCGTAACTGAAATAATGAATCAATTCATTGAAAATGGTCCGAATTTTGACAGGAGCTCTAAAGTAAGGCGTGGTGTTAGAGATGCTATATCCGTTTATGAAGCACTTTTAAGAGAACAACGCAAAAGAAAAAGTGAAACAACATTAGATACTTTTGTCACAAAACGGCAAAACACTGAAAACGCGGAGGGCTAACCAAATATGACTGACTTTTTGTTATTTATATTTATATTAGTTATCTTTATTTTTGCAAGAATTAATGATGTGATATTAATTTGGGCTTTAAGAAATAAATGTTTGGTTTTATTTTTAGTAAAAATAACATACTTTTTAAATTTAATACCGAACAAATTTTAGCCCTAGCCTCGTTTAGTGCTGTTTCGCATTGCGCTCTACTTTGATGGAACGGGTACCCCGCGTTAAACGGGGTATTTCTGTAATACATTTAGGATCAAAGCCTTATTTTTCAGAATGCTTATACTTATTATTTATATGATGCTTTGCCGCCGTTTGAGTTCTTATCTAACCCTCATATTATCTCATCGAACCGTGTGAAAAATGATCATTAAATAATATTTAAGCAGAATTTATTTTACCTTATTCATATTGATTTATACTCAATATTGCTTGTTTAAGTCGTACCACCTAGGGAAATAATGCTACAATATTTATAGAGCTTAATGCTCTAATGCGGAAGAAAGAAGAATATCTTTGGCTTTCAATAAATCCTCATTTAGTTGGTCTATAATTAACAACTACGGATTTTTTTTCGATCTTACACGCTTTTTGAAAATAATCTTTTTTAACAAAATTTATTGATTTTGCATTTACTCGAAATTATAAACACTGAACTATAACTTGCTTATGTCTGCAATAACATTTTAATTGTTTTACTGTCAAAATACAACAAACTGTATGTTACAGTTACACATTTTTAGTAATCTTTATCTGTGATGTAAACATGTAGATCAGATGGGAATTGAATGTTTTATGAGACAAACTAAATTTTGTATGTGTATAAGCTAGTTTGTTTGCAATATCAAAACAAAAGACATCATTGTTTTTAATAAGTGTTTTAATAATTGATAGCGTAAATTTATTCAAGGTGAGCAAATAACAGAATCATTTTTTACAAAATCTTCAATTTATAAAAAAAATATAGTTCAGCAATGACATAAGATGAAAATAAAAAACTATACAGTAAGAGAAAGTTTATATCTCTGAAAACAAATTTTAATTTTTATCTATAGAGAAAATAAAATATTGAAAATAGTTTTTTTATATTTGTTTTATTATAGAAATAAATAAATTTTTTTATAATTTATTTAAACGACTGTCGAATAAGTAATATAAATAAACACTAAAATAAAAATTAGAAACATATTCTTGTCATATTAGGTTTACTACTGCGACCAAAATATTAGTTAAAACTTTCCAAAAACATTATTTTTTAATTATTTCAGTTTCACAATGTCGGGCTTCTTTCCAATCCTATTTAACGGATTTTATAATTAGACGAAATATAGCCGAGGTACGACTTATTGTTAGGCAATTTGAGCAACTTGTTATTTTTCAAGTAAAGACATGACGCTAATAAGATTTTACATTTTATCATTTGTGCTGAGAACTTTAAAAAATCTGTATTTATTTTCAGTGATGATACTTATTACGTTTAGCTAATGGTAATAATTGAAATGTTATTGCTTGATATATTTCTCAATAAAAAAGGATACAATAAAAACATCAATTGTCATATCTTCAGAAGGTTAACACAAACTAAACATTGCGGCTCGTTTTTAGTAAATACGTAAAGTACTCTCGCTTTTGTATACAATAATATTGGCACATATTACGTATGTGAGATAGAATTTCCTAATGTGCTATATATGTGTATTATGAGCGGGCATATAAAAGGGGAGCTGAATATCTTCAAAGTGAAATCTTTAGGATAAAATCTAGTAATCCTAAAAATAATTGATAACACTTTTTTGAAAAGCTCGTCACTGTATTCTTCTTATGTCACAATGCATGATTGATTTATTACATGAATTGAAGTTGTACTGAGTTGATCAGTCATAATTTTGTTAACGACGCGAAAATACTAAAATACTGTCCTTAAATATGATATATTAGCCATTAAATTAAATCATTCAAAAAAGGGCCAGTGGCACATCCGAAGGACGGTTGTGACAGTAGTGACAGGCATAAAAATAGGTTAAGAACAATAGGTACTAACGCCAAAATCAAAACCAACCGACTTTTATTGTGGTTAATAATAATATGTAACACAACACAACATAAAAATTTAAATAAAGCTTATGAATGAAATATAATAATATAATAACAAAACATAATTTTTTAAGAATTCTCTGTAATTTTTTTTTATCATGTTGAATTTTATTTTTCCTATCTCTTTCGTATTTTGTCTTAGTTAAGTTAGATTGTTTTTTATCTGTTTCATCCTCGCCCAAGAGAAACAAGAAATATATGTCACAACCGTACCCCAAAATTTGTCACAACCGTACCCAACGCACAGTTCTGAAAACAAATCAACCATTATGACTGAGCTAAATTATTTAATCAAAAACTAATTGCTGCTAAATAACTACTAATGTTCAACTTACAGTAAAATAACAAGAAAAAGTAAACTATCTGAATAGGTTACAACTAAATATAAATAAAAAAACTATATATAAATAAAAAAATACAATAAACAGTTCTTATTAAAATAATTCGAACATGAAAACTAACTTTTGACTCTTTAAAAGCAATGGGGTTTACAAATCATGTTAATGTAAGGCACTGACTGAAAGCAATAATGGAAACTTATTCAAACAATTATACTTGATCTTCTCCCTTTAGACCTTATCTCAAAATCAGTATACTTCAGCTGTTATGACAACTGTCACTACCGTACCCAGTCTCCCCTACATGCCCAGACCTTTTCTCAATTCATGTCATTCCATTGATTTTTTTATCATATTAAACTAAACATTTCCACAAAATCTAAGTAATTCAAATATTTAATATTTTTGTCACACCAAAAATAAATGAGATATACATAATAGTTTTAATATTTATCATTTTGTTTCAAAATAGTTTGAAAAATTATCATGTTTAACCCCTTTAACCTATATTATTATTTATATCAAGTTGTAGTAAATATGAGTAGATTGACCGTTTCAAAGAATTTCAATTTAAAATAACAAAGTTCGTTCGTTGGGTCAAACCCTTAAATTTATTGATGTTTTCCTCTGTTATATATGTTTCATCAAATTACAATTTTCCTGATTTATTTCTACTTCTATTACAATATTTTAGTTTGTCAAAAAACATGTTTTAATATTCTAATTGCTTCGAAAATTTCAGAATGATATTTGAAATGTATAGTGATAATAATATGCACTAATATAGTCAGTTTCGGTTTTATTTGAAACATGTTAAAGCTCTTTGACTATGAAGGTGTGGCACAAAACGCGTTCACTAAAAGAACAATTACTCAATTTTTTGACCAACTGATGAAAAAACAATAGATGGGATGGGGAGATAACACATCACATGAATTTGTATAAAAGTGCGGACTGCACAAAACGAAAATCAAGTAACTCATTTTACTTGTGCTGGTACAACACCGAACAAATAAACAAGATGGGTCTAACAATGAAGGTACGGATATCAGAATCTTAAACTTATGTACATTTAAAAAAAAGTTAAACTAATTTTAATAATTATATTCAAGAGTCTTGTTGAAAACGTTTTCAAAAGCAAGTTTTTAAAAAGTGAAATTGTAATAGTGTGCTTTTTTACTTTCATTTTCATTTTCGCAGATATTTGATTTGATTTTTCGGTAATTATTAGTTGAATTTAATATTTTTTGTTAACATTGTCGATAAATTCTAAATCGATTGTAAAAATTCAAAAACCGTTTAAGTGTTATTGATTAAGATTCTCGCTTATTAATTTCGGTATAGATCTCCGTACCGTTTTCTCGTAATTAAAAGACAGTTGTTAATCAAATAAAAGCATTCGCTTGAAAAATATCGGCTGGAAAAATTGCAGTGATTCATTTTGGACAGAGATCAGACAACCTGCCTCTCATAGGATAAATGAGAAGAAACGCAAACAAATCGGAAACGATTTTTTTATATCTCGATATATTTTAAAGGAGTGGATTAAGCGATTTAAATGAATAGTTGCATAGTCTTTGCATAGGTCCAACAGTTTTAAAAATGTGAAGACAAGAAACGGCCATTTATTGACAATAAAATATCAAATATCGTTTAAAAACTCGTGATATGGATGGTATTAACTGATTTAATTTTGCTAGCATTATATCTATTTAGGTATTTTGTTTATTTTTTTATATTTATGAATAGACTTTTTATATAAAATTTCCCTTGCTAACGAAAGTAACAGCTCCGAATTGTAATTTTTTAATAATATTTTTTAATTTATTTCAAATTTTTAGCTTGCATTAGTCATGACTTTAAGCTTGGCTTTAGTTTTCGCTGAAGAAACAAAATTACAAGCTGCCAAAGATGACTTAAACACCGCTTCCAGCGAGCGTAGTAAGTAAATTAAATTATCATTTTCATAAATATTATAAAAATGATTTTCGAACAAAATCGTATTGTTCTTTTTAACTCGGAAGGTTTCGAAATTGATTACTAATCTCGAGTCGACAACACACATTAAGAACCAATTAATTTTGTGAAAAGTTGTAAAATATGTTTACTAAATTATTTTATAATTTATCTATAAAATTTTACAATATTTTCATCTTGATCTATACTTTTTATACAACAATCGATATTGATTCCATTTTTTATAAATTGGTATCTTAATAAAATTAACCTCTAAAGTATTCTTATTGCCAATTCAAATATGAAAAAATAATATAAATTTTTAATAAAACTTGTATGAATGACATATGTGTATGTGATGTGTGAATAACAATTTCGTTCATAACTCATTCTTCCAGTTACGCTCAGAAAATATTTGTTCTTACAGTTTTCGACTTATTCGGTAACGTACCTCACCAGACATATGGTTATCCCAATACCAACTACAACTACAACTATCAGAATCGTTATCCCTCATTTGGTACAACTGGTGGATATTACCCAGGCACCTCAACCGGATATTATCCTGGCACAACAACCGGATATTATCCCGGATCATCTTCTGGATATTACCCAGGAACGTCTACGGGATATTATCCAGGAACTTCAACCGGCTTCTACCCTAGTACCTCAACGGGTTATTATCCTGGATCGACCACGGGCCATTACCCAAATGGCGGAGGATACTATCACAACAATGGAAATAACTTTGTAGGAAGTCTTGGATATAATGGTTATTCAGGTTACAGGTAATATGTTTCATCTATTTCATTTTTTAAAAGTAAATATCTATGCCACTATATACGAAAAGAAAAACTTTCACAGTTCCACAGATAATGCAAGGCGCTATCTTTTCGTATACATTTCTGTATTCAAATTTTCACCTATAAGTAGACGATATATGTTTAACGAGTCTCTACTTATGCAGTGGTATTGTTGATGTTATTGTAAAAAAACTGTCATAATAATAATTTTCAGCAATACCTTAAACATAAAAATGTAGTAAAGTATTAAAGTAGTAAAATAAATGTATTAAAGTAATTGTAGAAAATATTTTATACTAGTATTTATACCAAAACCACAATCACCGTAAAATTATTTGTTATTGCAAAGTATTGAAAATAACTATAATTTATATACAAAATTAGCAGTACATGCCATTAAAATATTTATTTACGATGCATCATATATTATTAATATCAAATTTTAATAACATAGATTCAAATAAGTTAATCTCATTTTGATATAATATATTCGTGCATTAAATTTAAACTTCTTTACAGCGGTCGTAGTAACGGATATTACAACAACTTGGGAACGTCTGGTTTTGGATACACTAGCGGATATACATCAAATTTAAATCCGGGGTATACAAATAACTACGTGAATTCATATAGAAGATATTCCTGGTAAAATGAACTCTTGACCAAATACATGGATGAAATATACTGGAAGTTCAAACACTGTTATTGAAAACGGCTAATTGAGAGCTTTATCAACTTCGTATAGACGATTCAAATGTATATAGCAAAATGTTCCAGTCAGAACTTAAAAATTATGATTAATGCAACTTTAAGTGACAAATGTTAAATATAATAACTATAAGCAATATGATTACAAAATGAAAAAAAAAAGTTTGTATATAAAAAATTATTTACAATAAGAATCAATCTGTAAATAAATTCATATAACCAACATAGCGTATTTCACTTATTATCAAACACGGTACTGTACACATTATAACGGTTTTATATTAATCCTAGAGAAGTGAAGCTTTCAAAATATTAAGTAATAATATCAAACTATTATTTCTTTCGAAAATTTGTAAGATACATTGCAAGATAAAAAAGAACTCCATAAGCAACTTTGACTTCGATAAGAATTAAAAAGAGTTGTCAGATTTTCCATATTATCACTTGCCGATATTTTGAAAATTGAACATAAATAAATGCGTTTGTTTTTCAGTATAAATAACTTTGAATGTGCATTGAAACCAACAAAAATCAACATCTTCACCCTCCGATGATTTAAAAGAACAATTACTTGGACAAACTAGGCATTACTTCAAAATACCGTATTTTCATTTAAACATATATTATTGAAGTACGATATAAATCTACGAAGACTGGGTAAAAAGTTTCCGGCTTAACACTTCAATTTTCAGCATAATCTCCATTGAGACTGATGCAATTCTCATAACCAGTTTTAAACGTAAATTCATCAAGCTCCTCCAAAAACTTAACTTATAACTTCAATCTTTTCTTAATTGTTTCCAAATCTTTTACCGCCAAGCCATGTTACAGATAAATCGCTGGGGCTTGTCCAAAGATTTGGGAAGATGCCGCATGAACTTCCCGATACGTGTGAATAATAAACTTAATCAATAAGAATTGCGATTCAGCTATTTAGGTAAAATGTTCAAATGTTCTAATTGATGTCTTTGATAGTTACATTGTTACATACGTATAATATCTGTAATTGTAAGAATTAAATTAGTTTAATATATATCATATCATCTATTTCGAGTTCAAAAATGTTTTTTATTTTTGTGTGGATGCCAACTGTTATCAGTAGCTACATACGAAATACAGCATATGTATAAAGCTTGGTATTTTGATAAATTTTTATAATTCAACCGCTTATCGTATGCCAATAATATTTTAGTATGCTCATCAAGTTTCATCAAAACCGTCAAATAAAATTCAACAAATAATTACGAAAAAAAATGGCTCGGCAGATTTTTGACAAAAACTGATGAAACGATATCCGACCAATATCTTAATGGAATTATATATTTGAATTTTTTAAATCCATACAAGATTGTAGGCTAAAAAGTGGACGTAAACTTTTACACTATCAAGGAAACGGCTCTGTCAGTCATCAAATGGCTTTTAAATTTTTGAAATCGGTTCAACCATTTTTGAGAAAACGTCAATGAGAGGTCAAAAATCGGGTCACATGCATACATACGCATACTTTGGCTTAAAATCATCCAAATTTGATCTCATTCGATTGAGAGTGACTTGAAACGTCAAGAAAACAAAACTAGGAAATCGGATTTTCCGGCAAAAATATAAGCTTCTCCTTCGGAAAGTTAAAAACGTTTAGTACACAAACCTAGGTCTATTCAGTATAGTGAAATAAGTAATATCAATTTAGACTCTAAATTTAAGAGCTTACCTTGTATTTTTGCATTCTTTCATTAATGAATTACCAATTAACAGGTCGGACATATAAGATATATCATTAATGATTGCGACTTATTGCATTTTTGCAGCATCAACAAATTATGTTGAATAGGTTCAGCCTAAGCCCTTCCATATGGCACCCTAAAATTAAATCCAATGATTAGTAAACTAACTAAATAAACCATATGACAAATACGTTCTTTTATAATTTTCTAATTTACTTATATTTGTATAAAGATATGTATTTACATTGCATAAAAATGGAATCAGCTATGAAAACATTAATTCAGAAAAAGCTTGACAAGGCTAAATAGTACACACATATCCAATGCGCAGTATGTAACGCATGTATGTATATTTTTATGTTTATGTATATATATATATATATATATATATATATATATATATATATATATATATATATATATATATATTTAGAACGACTCGATTTAAAGGTCACTTAGGCACATATGATTTTCAGATGCTATGGATCAAAGTAAGATACTTTGCTGAAGAAACCATACCTCTAAAATGAATTTTGATGTCACGTGCATTGACCCAAAGATAAAGGTTAAATTTTGAAAAATCCGTTTTGGCCCATCTAGAGTCCAATCGCGTCCAATTGCGTCCAATTGCATGACCGACCCCACAAACTTTAGAACATTGATGCACCATACAAAAACCGCAAAAAATCATTGTTTTTGATACTTTACATAACAAAAAAAAACAACAAAAAAATTTTTTTTTGAACTACTTAACGAGAGAACAAAAATGGCATGCGGGCGCCTATCACCATAAAGACTATTCACATTTTCAATCGCCTGGCTAGCACCGGTCCTGCTCAGAACCATAAAGACTATTCACATTTTCAATCGCCTGGCTTTTCTTTTCGACTTTATCCAACAAAGGCTATTAAATATAGTTAAATATCTTTGCTAGTATCTATATTTGATGCGCACTCAAACAAAACTGAGTTAACGTTTATTTTAGTATTAAGTCTCATCTTTTTAACGCCACTTAATAACACCCGATCAGACAACGCGAAATACAGATAATTAAAGCCGTCCATTGAAAAAATAATGGATTTCTATTCACTTCATATGTAATAATAATAATTAGTAGTCTGCCCAAAGGCAGGTCCATAGTATGATAGCACCACATAGTCAAGTATTTTCTTCCCCTCCCTTGTTGATTATTCCCATTACCGTTTCATTACCATTAATTAATGATCACTAATCACTTTATGTTCGATTTTATGTATTTTTCTCTCCAAACTTCTGCTTCCGTGCTTCCTGAACCTGTGACTTTCATTTCAGTTCTCTGTATTTTCTCTTCACGCGTAAGTCATAAACCTTCATCTACACACATATATATATCACATATATTCACTTCGTGTCTTCTTGAACTAAGAAGCTCGGTATTTAAGCTTATTCATTTCAAGCTTTCTCAAACTAATAAGATCGGAAAGTCTGAAAAACCTCACTTAAGCGCAACACAAAAATGAATGTTTGCTGTCAATTCCTAGAAAGTTACTGCACTAGACGTCGGAACTAGATGCAGAATGCCCCATACTGTCCTGATTTGGTGCTATCTGACCAATTATTTTCAACTCTCAAAATTTTGTACATGATAAAGCATTCACTAATGATGATGCCCTGTGAATTCAATTAGCATGCAGTCATAAAGTGGTTAGAAATATGGGAAAATATGAACAAATTGGAAAATATATATACAATCGATTAAAGTTTATTATCTCTATAAAACAATTAGTTTCACACTACAAAACAAAAAATACTTTCTTGCCTAGGTTGGCATATAAATCTATATATCCACAAATACTTATAATATATATATATATATATATATATATATATATATATACATACATACATACATATATTGCCCATTTACTCCTCATCAACCATAATGCTATAATAAATAATTTATCAGATAGAAATCCAAAATAAATTAGTAAAAATAGTTTTTAGGGATGTCTAATAACACATTGTGACTGTAATAAAAAAGATTTTTTACCACGTAGAATTGTTCCATCACAATACTACTTGTTTAATACATTATAATAAATATTTATAATTCAACAATATAAGATTTAGTAAAAGCAAAGATAGGTCTAATTATACTAAAACTAAACCTATTTGAATATATTTTATTAATCATAGCTAAAGGTTAAATGAGTTTACTGTTTTAAGAAAAATATGTATTTAAAGCAATATAATATAAAATAATGTTAATTGTCATGATGAACAAATAACAAATATCATGATAAAATTCAGCTTTGTGATAGTACAACTCTTTCAACTCATGATTTATGATGATTAGGCTTATGCTAACTTAGACTAATTAAAACCGTGTATTTTATCAATAACAATAACATACGACATTCAAAAGCCGCTCATAAAAATAAATAAAATAGTTGAATAATTAAATTTTGACATTTTTAAATACAATTTGCCTCTAGCTCAATGTATTAGTTTAAAAACCATGTATTCATATTTAATTATGATGCCTAACATAATTTTAGTGCACTGTTTAATAATAACAACTATGTAATCTTTATATGTGAGTTACTTTTGCTAAACCTATTTATGAATTAAACATATACACATTAACAACACAAACATACAATCACACTTGCATATTACAAATGGATTTATATTATATATATATATATATATATATATATATATATATATATATATAAGTTACACATATTTACATATATACAGTCAAATATGTGTGCCTAAGTATGTGCATACAAAGTTAAGAATATATGTAATAATAATTGTGTTCTCAAATATCACAGCAATAATTATAAAATGTACACTAATAAGATAATAATATTTACAATTCAAAGTTAACAAACAGTTAAATTTTCTAGAAAAAGACTTTAAAGTCAGTCTGGGACCAGCATTATTATGTATGCCCTGAGCAATTTGAATAAAAATGATATTAGGCATATTAGATAAAATTAGAAATATTCAAGTTGTCTTAATGTGACATTATTTACTTAGTCTTAGTTCTGAATTCCCATATCAAAAACTGATTTTCATACGCTTGTGTGGTGAGAAGTGACAGGCACGATATTTGCAGTATTAGCATTATTTACTGCTTCTTGATTTCCTGTTGGAGAATCTTTTTCTTCAGCAATTCTAGGTAGAAGTTCACTTGGACCTGGTAAATTTAAAGACAACCGACCATCAAAATTAGCAGATCCTTGAATTGTATTTGTACTCGTTGGAACATTTGGTAAAATATTAGAAGCATTTGATAAGACATTTGTAGCAGGCGCTGAGCTTATGGTCGATGATGAATGTAAGGTCGAGTTCTCCAATACGGTTTCTTCGTGGTTTTGATCGTTTTCTTCCTTCTCCCGTTCTTGAGTTGAACAGCGCCAAATGCTAGGGGTAGTTTTAACAGTTTTATTACTTGTAGCCTGGGTTGAACATAAAGGCGATATTTGAGTGCATTTATTCTCTGCGCTTCGCGGATGCAATCGATCGGGCGACAAAGCTCTGCGAAGTAACGGCGAGCCCGGCTCTGCGCTCTTTGGACGGACAAAACTTTTTTTCGAAGTAGTTGCAGTGTTTGAAATACCTCCTGGACCACCCGGACTGTAGGATTGAGTTGTGTTACTACTTCCGGGCTGATGACCAACAGGAAACGCTAGCGGACTAGGTGAACGAGTAGGCGATGCGGGCAGTGGAGAAGGAGAAGGTGTACGTGCCAATGGCGACAATGGTATATGGCCAACGGATTTTCTGCGACTGGGACCTGATCCTGTAACTCCGGAATGCAAGGATTTATTACACCCATTTGTATGCAATTTATGCTTCAATCCGTGCAACGTTGAGGGCCTTTGATAGTGTTGCGAGCCTCCTATGCCACCGGTACCGCTGCCTGCCGTAGGCGTGTTAGGAGTTGACGAGCTGGGAGAACTCGATTGGGGCGAGTTACAGGGAGATGGTTGTATATATAAATCGTTAGATGATAAGCTGATTCGATTCACTGGGGAATACGAACTTCCAATCGGTACTTCCTGACGAGGAAATGCTTGGAAACTTCGACTTGGAGTAACCATAGTCGGCGATGATATTGCAGCGGCAATCTAAATTAATAAAATTAAATCTATATATAATCTATATATATAAAACTAAATGAATGACTGTGAGTCAATGTCCTATGCATTCATAAACCATACATCCAATCGCCGTAAAAATTTGGGAAACTGTTCGGCATATCGCTGGACAGGTTCTAGCATATTTTTTTTGGAATAATCTTACCACAATCTCCTATTTCGCAACAATTATCATAGTATTTACATCATTTTTCATCTCGATTTAATTGAACGCGTGAACGCATTTGACTGAATTTCGATTGAGAAGTTTTGAGCTTATGAAGAAGCTCAATTTTACATTGAAATAGAAATAATTTCATCAAAGCTTGTGCAACATTAACACTTATTTCTCAATGCATTGGAACAATTTTCTTAATTTTACAAGTTTATATTTATGTAAGATTTTCAATCATTATGTTTAACAATATATATTTAGAATATTATTTTTACATTTATTGTTCAACCTAATAATTAAGCTGCATCGCATTGATTAAATCTCATGTAATTATTATTCCGTGAAACCTCTTTAAAGTTAAAATTAAAATAATTGATCCTTTTGCCATCTGGCTGCCCCTTTTTAACCCGCAATGAGACAAATTTTTGAAAATAAAAAAAAAACATTTTTACAATGATAAATTTACTGGAAATTTTACTGAACATTATTTTGTTACAAATTACTTTTTTTAATACCTTGGATCAACTTTTTTTATTATTCTTTTTTATAAATCGAGATTGAAAATAGATGTAATTAATTTTTTCATATTTTGTAATAAATTAAAAATAAAACTTATTTTGACAACTAATTTTACATAGAGCACATAAACCAAAAAAGTTTGCTGATGCTTGTAATACAGCTCAACCACCAACTAACATTTGCTATTTTCCACCATTTAATGTAATATAACGGCATTTTTGTTAAGATTTTCAATTATATGTATAACACAGCAACGAGTGATCGGGCACAGCTATATGTTTATAAGATATTAAAGCACATAGTTCAGCTATGATTTAAATATCAATGTAATACAATTAGTATTGAAACATTTAATCTTAAACAAAAAAATAACTATTGGTAAATGGCATTATGCTTAAGGTAAATTGCCGAAACTTTCCGTACCGTGATTTAAAATTTTAGAAGGCTTTAAAGTTTTTGGAAAATATTGACTTAAAAAAAATTGAGTTTTTTTTTTAATTTTAATTTTTTTTCAAAATTTTTAAACCACTGAAGTCCGCCTTCCCCAAAAACTTATCTTTTCTTGACATCGTCAACATAAGCAAAATGCTCAAACTGTATGACCATTTTTGCACTCTGCTCACTAACATGACAGCGCGACCGCACGGCGTATCTATTTTATAGACAAAATATCAAAGCGCAATAGCGCTGCATCGCTGTCCACCGGTTGAACATCTCGATAAAAAAAAAAAAAATACAACTATGTCTAACGATCATTTTTGACTGTCAAATGGGTGTTTTTAAATTTCTTTTTTGGATCTCTGAAATCGCTGGATTTGCCTTACCAAAAATTTAATTAATTAGTCATTCTATCAATACAAATGAAATATCTCTTGTATCGATCTAATCTGCTCCTTTCTCGCAAGCACTAAATTTCCGTTTTCTTCTTTTTTTGCCCCGAATTTCCGAAACGGTTTGACAAAAATTTGTATCCACACATACACACGTACATCCAGTTTTTCCATAGTATATTAGTTTTTTTTTTTAATTTTCAAATGAATTACAATCTGTCTTTATAGAAAGACATTGAGTAATTTAAAAAAAAAAATCCAGTGGTTTATTTTCATTAATGTACTAAATTATGTGTGAATTTAGTATGGGTATTATAAAAAAAACTAATATATGCATACAATTATGAATACAGTACATTACACAGACTACACATACACATACATACACACACCTATCATAGATAATATGGTACAACTACACATACATACACATACATACACATACATACACACACCTATCATGGATAATATGGTACAACAACTTACACATACACATACATACATACACATTCATACACACACTACGCATACACATACATACATACACATACATATTTAGATGTTATACATATACATTCATATTTGGATGTTACATACATGCATACATACACATACATACATACACAGGCTACACATACACATACATACACACACACCTATCTTGGATAATATGGTAACAACTTATTAGCAATTAAAGTGTTAAATCTATTAAATGAGTTCTTTTTAGTCTTATATTGTACATGGTGTTGTAAAGACTCACTATCAGTTCATTTGGATGTTGGTCGATTTTGCATTTTTATTTAAAAAATTTTTCTGTTTATTTAGTGATTACTATAAATAAAATATTAAAATTATTGAGTATATAAAAAAAAGTTTGGCAACACTTGTTAATATTTCTAGCTTACTTGCTGCATTTCCACACTAGCTCTTTTGCTGCTAATTTTTCTAAATAATGATGATTTTCTTCTCTTATCAGTATCTCGTTTCGGTTTCCTTTGCCTATGTAAATTCCTCCGCGCTAGCTTGCTTTGCCATAATTCGCGCTTACGACCACCACTCTGAATACTAGTATGCTCTAAAGGAGTAGCTCTCAAACTGACATGTTCTACACCTCCTGTAATTAATATAAGTAATTAAATGACGAGTACTTTAAATATGAAAATAATGAATTGTTTTTACTGATAAACACATACTTATATAGATATAATTTTTATGATAATTTTTAGTAATTAAATGATATATATTTTCATAAAAAAATGTTAGCATAATCTTAATTAAGTCATTAATCTTAATCATCTTAATTAAATGTTATAAGAATATAATGCACACTATTTACTATGTATTGTAAATGTCCTAAAAAAACATGTAAATTATTTGAAACTTTCTCCTATTTAACAATTATAATTTTTTTTAAGAGATACCATCTTTGAATCCCTTCCATCTTTAAATCAGCCGGTGCTGAGATACTACACTGATTATAATGTGAATAATCCTTCTAAATCTATGCTATCTAAATATAAAAATTACACTAAAATAATAAATAAATCTTACATATCTCATATATAAAATTCTTCTGTAATGATGTATGTAAAAATATAATCCTACTAAACGATTATTTAAATTTTGATAAATCTTCCTGAAGTTTCTTAAAGGAATTTTTTAGAATGTATGTGATTATAAATATATAGTAATATTGTAGAAATAAATGGAAAAAATTGCAAAAAACTACATGTCATTGTTTGACATTGAAAATATTTGAGACATTTTTTGGCTGTCATCTGCCAAAAAACTCAATTTACTTATGAGTCTAGACTAAATATTAGAATATGTATAAGAAATTCATGATTATGAATAAAAAAAATAAAATGTCTAAATTATTATTGCCAAAAAAACAGCTGAGATGAGCCAGAAATTAAAATAATATAGGAGCTAGAAAAAAAAATGTATATGCATTTTGGTGTGAAGAGTAATTTACAAAAAACAATAATTATTATTTTTAGGTAAACGGTAAATATTAGTATAGGTTATTATTGTTATTACTACCTAATAATAGTTGTAAAACTTGAGTGTGATAAAGGCCTTGAACAGCTTCCCCATTAATATGTGTAATTAGGTCAGCTGGTCGCAACCCTGCTTCGAATGCCGGACTACCTTCATCAACAGCCTATATGATATACAAAATAAATGTAATAAAATTCATGGATTTTATGAAAAAATTACATCATTTACATCAAATATAAAGTACAACAAATTATATAAATATGTATTAAAGTAAAAAGTAAAGCTTTTCAATACTATCACCCCTTTATAAATCTAATCTAAGCATAAAAACACATAAGAATAAATCTGCACTTTAAAGAACGGGCAACTAATAAATTGCTACTGCCAAGAATTACTGGTTCACTTTTTTCACTTGAAGAACAGACCAAAATCAAATCAAGAGAAACCTATTTGCTTTATTTGAAATTTATTGCATTCGCACTTGAAGTATAAATTACTTAACTTGTTTTGTAAAAAATAAAAACTATTTATATATAATGCAAAACATGTATTTCTAATTAGCTAAAAATTAATTGAATTATTTGTCTGTTATTATAGATTAATATTATCTAAAAAAATGAATTACTTGAAAATTGAAACACAATTAGTAATTGTGTAAAATCATAGCTGATATGAAGAAAAATGTTTACCATACCATGACTAAATGATGCATAGTGTAGAAATCTGTATCGCCATAATATACGCGAATAGTGTGTACAGTGAAGCCAAATCCTTTTGGACCACGCCTGATGATGATCGGAGGTTTCAAGTTTGTGACTAATGGTGACAGCTCCCGACAAGGCGAGTTGTCACGGGAACTTGCAGTACTAGAACCACCACCGCCTGGCGACTGTATCTCCACACATGAACTACTATCTATAATGTAAAATATTCAATGCATATAAGCCAGACTATAGTCAATCAAACAGCAAGTTGCATGTGTAAGATAACTAATGAAAAAGATATTAAATTTTATAAAGTAGAAAATTTTATTACTAAATTCTACTTTTTTATGTATGTATGTATGTATATATATGTATATATATATAAATATATATATTCTTTTTTTCTCTTTCCAAATCATTGTTTTTTGTTCTAACACAATAATCTATGAGAAAGCTACATATTGGTATTATGAACAATAATTGCATCTGAACATAATCTTTAAGTCACACACACATACATATATTTATATATACCCTGCATAATTTATATATACCTGAAGGTATTATAAGTGATAAGCCTAAAGCTGAGGCACTTTTGACTACAGCGCGCGACTTGTGTTTACTTGTAGGTAGAATTTGAAGATTCAACGATGGAGCCTTAAGTCGACTAGCACCGAGACCACTACTATTTAAGGACACCGGAGAAAGTTCTCTAGTATTTTCTGATGATGATGTACCAGTGTCACTGCCAAATTTTAAAGCATATTATAATATAGTTTTTAAATTCTTATTGAGTAACTTTGACATTCAATGTTAATTGTTTTCAATTTGTCAAAGTTTAATCCATTTACATTTTGTCAGAGCTACTTGATAGTGTAAGCTCTTCAATATATTAATGTTCAAAATCACTTTACTGTGTTTCAGATTATGAAGTGAATGTAACTGAGTAGATTGCTTACATTTTCCAATCTATAATAATTCTCTTTAGTTATTGCAATATAGAAAAAATCATCTCTTAATGGGAGTTTTAAATAAATTACCAGCTATGCTCGTCTTCCACGGAAACCGAGAATCGAGGCAAGGCGTCACGCGTATGTCGCCGCCTTCTTTGAATCTGGGGCGACACGTCGTCACTGTCTGTTTGAGAAGACTCTGGCGTACTTGTTGTCTTATTTGAAGCGCACGATAATTGGTTGAGATCAGCTTGCAGCTAGAAATGTATTCATAAAATTCGTATCACACATTGAGTTATTTAAGTAGTTATTGATATTTCATATCAATTAAAACAATTTTTCATATTGCGTTCATCGGAAATGTTGACACAATTAATTTTGTATATGCTATAGCTTTAAAATGTTTACAACGATAAATGGTTGAAGCTGTTTCGATTTTTTTTTGTTTTGAAAAGAAAATCATAATTTATTATTTGCATTAACAGTTTTAAATTTATTAAAATTAATTTATAACAATAATATTTATTTTAATCCTAAAATATGTTTCGAATCACTCGGATTATATGAAATACTCCTGACAATATTATTATAAAATTAATAAAAAAAAAATCAATAGTTAAAAAAATATATAATATTCAAAAAACAGTTTTAGCAATTAACCACTTAAGGTCACGCACGAACACTACTCGCGCCTAAGTAACGTATCCTAGCGGGCTAACAAGAGCGCTGCTCGCCAAAGTTAATGTTTGTTTTATGCGATAAAAGGCTTACGATGGCTCGTTATTGGGATATGTTTAGTTTAGATATGATAAGTACAGATCAATTAATAATTGTATATATAATAGATTAATCTTTAACGACTTTTGAGATTAGAAATAAACATGTAAATAAAAATTTCTGAATATTCGTCAAGGGACATGTTATTGTTATATGTTTGTGTTATTTTCGATAGGAATCAATTGATCATTACACTGGATTGTATCATCTAATTAGACAAGAATCCATCTATTTTGTTTTTAACTTTCATAGTTTTACACGCACATTTGCTCTAATTATATATTGCTGAATTTAGTTTTATTTCCCAGAAATTGTTAAGTATATATCTCAATTATTTCCATTACACATATATTCTTGAATAATTTATATGTTACTATATATATGCTTTATTATCAAGAAATCGCAATTTTGAGAAGATGAATTTATGTAGTTCAGGAAGGATTTCTACATAACCGATTATTAGTTCGAAATCAGAAAGACAATTTGAATTCGGGGATGAAATTGAATTTGATATGAGTACAAATGTCACATTGTTAACAACCCCTCAAAAAATTTTTAATTATTTTTTCCGCGACTAATTGGTAAGAAAAATTGTAGAGTAAACAAATACAATGCAATATATTGATGAGTATTATATACGAGTCAGAAAAAAACATGTGGTGGTTGAAAAACCCCATTATTGCACCTCCATTTTTTTCTGAATTAATGTCCAATAGGTGTTACAAGTAGATCAAAAATTACTTGCATTTCATGAGTAATGAAATGTACAGGATTTTGTATAAAAAGTTATTTCTTGTGCGAATCAAAAACTTGTAGAACTTAACTAAACTTGTATATTTGTAATATACCAATATATACGAGAGAGGATAAAATTGTAAATAATAAATTGTAAATATACTAATCTGCTAATATCTTAACAAATTATTATAAATTTGATGAAAGCATTGGTAAATGAAAGATAATTATCGATAATTTTTACTGTTCTGATGAATTATTTCGATTGTTATCAGTTTTTAACTCTTTCGACTCTGATCCTGGCAAAAACGGTTGTAAAGTAGCAATGTACGAGTGGAAAGGGTTAATAATTAATAATTATACCACTGGTGGTATTTATCGAACACATTGAAAAACATAATGCAGAAAATTTTTTGTTAAAAGGTGATCAAGCAACACTTTGAATCCGCTGAGATTGGCAAAATGTAATTTTTTTCAAAACTATACCAGCAGCAGGCAGTGGAAGAATGTTTCGAAATCTATCATACTATCTATCATACAAATCTATCATACAAAAAATATTTTTTTATTATTATAATATAAATAAATAAGTAATACTTTTTATTCTTGAATTTTTTAAGTAAGTAATACTATTTGTTTAAACATTTTTTAAATTATTCTTAGATAAATAAATAGTATTAAAATTTAGAAGTTATTAAATAAAAATTTCGTATTACTTATTCTTATTATATAACAATAATTCAGGCATAAAAAATAAAGGTAGTCCAAAAAACATCAAAACAGTCATCAGTAATGTAATATATATTGTTAATTTTAAACAAAAATAAAGTTGTTGAAAAGAAAATGTTACCAGAAACACATATTACATCAATTGAACTTTTAAAATCCGAAATAAAAAAACCTGCTTTTTTAGATCACTTTTCACAAAAAAAAAACCAATCATTAAGTGGTTAATATCATACCTTCTTCAAACCAGAAGTAACAAATGATTTTTTTCCTTCGCTAGGTTCAGTCTCAGTGTGACTTAATCGATTACTTTGAACTTTTCTGTACTGTGGAGAACATGATGAAAATGAACCAAACAGTTTTGAATCATCTGTATCATCAGTGTCGTCCCCAGCAATCTCATGATTGTATCTGTCAACTCGAGCTTTAAATAAAATAAGAATTTTGATTATTTAAACACAATTTAAAAAAACATAAGCAAAATATGTAAATTAAAAAAAGCAAAAATATGTAAACTCAATATATACTCAAGATAATGCTTCTAAAACTTTTAACAAAAGTATTATCCTTGTAATAAATTTGCATTAATTTCATTTACTATATGAACTTAGGAAATAAACTTACTATCAAAATAGCTGGTGTCATCCTCATTTTCCAGTTGAGGAACAAATTCAGCCTTTTGTCGAAGCAGAGAATTCCAATCAACACCAGCAAAGTACACATGCTCTTTAACTTCTTGAGGTCCCGCTGATCCGAGGCGTTCACGTGGACTTTGCTGCAGCAGTGCTGTTATAATATTTTTGGCTTCTGCTTGTATTGGCCAGTCATCATTATCGGGCCACTCAATATCATCTTAAAAAACAATCCAAATAAATATATCAGAAGTTTGTCCAATAAAATGTATCAAATAGTTTTACATAAATATCATTATTTTACTACTTTTAGTGGTCTGAAAAAAATGAACATGTTTTAGAATTGTTGAATGTATATTAATTATGCTTTTGGTTACTTCAAATATAGTCATATTTGCGAATTAACTCGTTTAAAGGTTTACCACTTATATTAAAATGTGTCCTAATATGCCATAATATTAAAGATTATTTCTCCTTATGATCTTACTACTGTACAAAAGTTTCGGCACATTATTGTGATTTTATTAATGCAATCTTTTTTGCCTATGTTTCTGTTAATTATAATAAACAAAATTCATTTCATATGCCAAAATATTCTTATTGTTAGTGACTGTGCGGTAGGCATTTACCTACCGCACATTTAGGCGGTTTGTTCGATAGAGTTTTTGCCGTAAATCTTTTCTCAAAAACATTTGAGGTATCTCGATGAGAACTATTGATTGTCAGTTTTGTGTGACGATCGGCCGAGCCGTTTCTTTGTATTTTGAAAAAAAGTGATAAACTTTTCGTCCGCATTGAAGCTCACACTACCAAATCGATTTCAAAAAAATCAAAAACAGTTCGAAAGCTATTAGTTGGGAATGATACTGATTAGTTTTAGGTGAAAATCTGTTGAGTCGTTTTCTTGTAATTAACTGTTGAAAAAAAATTTAAGACAATTTTTATGGAACTTTTTTTGTCGATATATATCATGGTTTTATATAACTTACTGAAATATAACGGCCTTACAACAAGTAGTTTAATTTTAAAAATTCATCAAAGTTTGAGAAAATGAGTAGTTTGGTGTTTGTTAAAATTAAAATTAGACGATTTACTTGGTATAACGATAGAGTAATTGGTCTTAATGAACATACTAAACCAATAAAGTTCTAAGAAAACTGGTTCAATTATAAAAATTATTAATTTTTGAAAATTTGCTTTTAAAAAATACTCTAAGTTAACATGTTTGTTTTCAAATCTGTGTGATAAATCCACTCGGAATACTTTAAATCACTCAAATTAATTTATTTTTTATTGATTAAGTCGATTATTTTCACATATCGGGAAGTTCATGTAACTTGCCTCAAGGCAAAATACCAATACCAACTAGTTTAATTTTAATATTAATGTAATATATTTACCATTAACTGTATGCGCAAAAAGTTCTTCAGGTGTTTCACCAAAAAATGGAACACAACCAATAAGAAATTCGTATAAAATAATTCCCATAGACCACCAATCAACAGGTTTCCCATAGCCCTGCCTTAATATAACTTCAGGTGCAATATATTCAGGTGTACCAAACACTTGCTTATCTGAAAATTGTCTGGCTTCTCTGTCAATATACCCTTCATATAAATTAGTTGCCACTAAAATAAATAAAAAAATGTTTAATTGCATTAATAAATAAATAAAAATTAATTAAACAACAAAAATACTCACACGACATTAGACCCATTTTACTTAAACCAAAATCTGTGAGTTTAATATGTCCTAAGGCAGTAATCAATAAGCTGTAAAGATTTGCAATACAGAATTTAGTGTCTTTTTGAGGTTTCAAATGACGTATAACATGAAATTAATTATACATACTTATCAGGTTTTAGATCTCTATGGACAATGCCATAGCTGTGCAAATACTCCACTGCAAGCACAGTCTCCGCAAAATAAAACCTTGCCATATCTGCCGGAAATGGTCCAATATTTTTAAGTAAATATGCACAATCACCACCTTCTACATATTCCATAACCAGACACAAATGCCTTTTAGTCTCGAAGCTGCAGTACATACTGACTACGAAGGGATTATCAGCAAAACTTAAAATATCACGTTCAGCAAAAACTTGCTCAACTTTATTTCGAAGAACTAAATTTGTTTTGTTGATTTTTTTCATCGCAAACCTTTGTCTGTTTTGCTTATGTTTAACAAGATATACAGCTCCATATGCACCATTTGAGATTAATTTCACAATTTCGTAATCGTCCTCGCTCGGCGAGAATAATTGAGTATTATGTTTTTTGTTTGGTGTTGATGTGAAACAAGAATTTTTATTTGTGCTGTGGCTTGCATTACCACCGCTATTGCCACTTCCACTGCTGCATGTAGAAGTAGTTGAATTGTCATGTAACCACTTATTGTCTTTCAAATCTAGTTGCAGCTCTTCAATTGGGTCTCGATTTAATCCTAGTTTTTCGATTATATATTGCGGAATGTCTGCTTTGATGCCCTGCATATCTTTAACTTGTCCTTCTGCTGCTTCCAGCAGATGGTAAAATTCCTCCGGATCAAATTCAAGACATTCTAATAGCCTCGCTGGGCGTGAAACTATAAGAAGTAGCTTCCGTATTAAACTAGTTATCTCCACTGCTGCTTCCGGTGATTTTTCTTTCGTCTAGAACAATTATGTAAAATAAGAATACTCTAAAAACTGTAATTCATTTTTTTTAAGCTAAGTAAAAATTTTTAAGAAAGAATTTGTTTGTTTTCTTTTTTTTGACTGCTTATTTCATGTGGCACTATTGTATATACATATGACACAAACAACATGCTAACAAATATTAAAAATAATGACAAAATTAAAATTGAAAATTTGTATTTAGAAAACTAATAATTACCTCAGTAATTAATCGTTCCAAATTTTCCTGCATTTCAAAAAAATAGGTGCTAGTGATAAGTTTGGCGTGCGATTTGTCCAAACAGTCCCTAGCGACTTCTAGGACTTGATGATGAACGAATCGTAAAATTGGACATTGTTGCATGAATGAAGTACTATCAGATTTATGGTCGTTCACAAACTGTGCTAGACGTTCCTCCATTTGTTGTGTTGCTTTTGGAAATCTCTCCTTGTACAGAGTATTCATAGTTGAAACCTCATTATCGACGTGAAGCGTCCTACTTGGACTACTGCATAAGGCAATATGAACAAATTAGATATTACGAATATTTTTCATCAATATTTATAGAATTTGGTTTTGGACTTATTGTTAGTAAACTATATATGTAATAATAGTGTACAATGCAGTAAAAGAAGACATAGTCATATATATCATCAGGACTTTAAGCCCAATTAGGAAATAAATTATAATCAATGTTGATAAAATTATCGATAATTACACAACATGAAAATGCAAAATTAATCATGTAAAATTTGTAATATTGATTTACCTCAAACTACGTGAACGCGGTCGATGAAATGGTGACTTTTTTCCATTTCCGGAAGAACCTCCGGAGTCGTCTTTATTTGAAACAGGCGTAGAACCCGAATTACTATCATTACTTGAAAAATGATGAATGAGCAGTCTTAATTCGTCGCTTGTTGGAAGGTTTGGTAACTGATGAAGACGTTCCTGACTTGAACATTGTGACTGAAAAAAATGGTTAAACCACTAGAAGCATATTTGAAAATAAAACATGTATATCATACTAAAAAAAACATCGCGGTTTAATATGAATCGAGAATAAAATAGTTATTTAATTAAATTATACAAATAAAAATATTATTTAAGAGTAGTTACAACTAGCGTTGCTCAAAATATATATTGAAAAGTATTTGAAGCCATCCAGAACAAAAAAGAGAAATGTATAATCTAATATAATCTATATAATCTGTAATCAAATTTAAAAATATCTATAATCTATCTTAATAGCAATTTCCAATGCTTTCCGAAAATCATAAAATATTACTACAAATTATGCCATGTGAAATGAAGTTTTTATATTTACTATATCTTATATTTACTATATCTGTAAGTTTTCATTTTAGCTTATTTAAATCATATCTGTATAAATTTTTGCTAAATCATTGTGTAATCTTACCGATAAATTTGAACTACCAGGAGTGGTTCCGTAACCAGAAGAAGGAAGTGATGCAACCGACCAGCGTCGTCCGTCACCTCGGCAACCGCCTCCCATAACACTGCTGGAGTACCCAAATCATAAAATTATGAATTCTAATTTCTATTTTTATTTATTTGGAACAATAAATATTAAGAAGTACAAGTAGAAAATATCACACGACAACAACTTTCATAATAAAAAAGATGTAAACAAAATATAATCTGATAAATAGTAATATATCAACTTTTAAGATTTCATTTTATTGGTATTAATATTGTTTAACTATTATAACAATTGCAATAATTTAATTTATTATATTAATTAATTTGCAAAAGTTATATAAGATAAAAATCATTGTACGTGTGTTGAACGCTAACGCAGGCACTTCATGCATGTTCGAATATAATTATCGGATTATCGCTTTTTGAATATAATTAAGTAGAAAAGAATACGACAAAACTGAAATGATATGAAGTTGTGCATGCGATAATATAAGAGAGCGATTTCCAAACATACCGTTTGGGTCCAATGAATGCGAAATGTGAGTTCGGGGAATTTATCCTAGGACTGTCAATAGGACTAGCTGAGATGGGTGAATGAGATCTTGGAGATGTGTTGGCGGCGAGACTCAGTCTGTGTGCCGTCGACACAGTCCTGCCAGATCTGCGAGGCATGCCAAGCTCTTTCTATCAACACACAGAAAAAACAAAGATTATTCGACTCATAGTTATGCGTTGCCTTTTGCAAAATATTAATCATCGGCATGATTCTTGAAATCACCTAAAGCAAGTATTCTGATGTGTTTGTGTATATCGATTTTGGACACTTATTATATATATTGAGAAGAAAAAGAAACATACAAATTCCAATAAAATTCCAAACTTTTATGATCACAGAAAAGAACATATGTACATACATATAATAAAATTTCATACTTATAAACTGCTGTAATTCATAAACGCGAACACGATGTCTTTAATGTCAGCTGTTAAGTATTAATTCCTTTACAAACAAAAATGATTCCTTTGTATTAAGTTTTGCTATATACCAATATTATGTATGTTTGTCAATGTACAAATCACTATATATCTTATGTATAATGTTCATTGTTTGAAACAAGATATAATTAAATTTAGTATATGTTAAATATTTCGCATAAATATGAGGTAAGATAAAAAAAAGCGGAATAAAATAAAAATCCACTAGATAGTCATATCAATATAAAATATTGATTTCCATTAGAATAATTTTGACCAGTATCAATATACATTGAAAATCCTAATTTAATTAATTAATTATCTTTGAAAAAACATTAAAATACATTTCGATGTTTCAACATTATGATGAAGTACAATGCCATCTGATAATCCTTAAATATAAGAATGATTTAGATTCGATTACTTCTGGAATGATTTCAGAAAACAATGCCGGTTCTGTAATTTATATATCATGATGATAGATATTAGATGATAAAGTTTTAATGAGAAAATACATTAAATAAAATTAATTATTATATTTTGAATGTTAATATAAGTTAAATGTTTAAAATACAAATGTAAACTTTTAATTATTACAAGCATTTGATGTCAATAATAAAAAGTTCATTTTTTACAAGCATGCGTTTTTAAAAAACATTTTATATGTTTATTACCATGTTTCCTGACAATGATGGAGCAGATTTTCCTAGAGGAGATTTCCTCATTTTAACAAGTTTCGAATCATCTGAAAATAAAATAATATATATTAATTATACTATTTTACATTTAAAATAATTTCACGTAAATATTATTTATAAAAGAAATAACATGAACTTTGATATTGAAATGAATTTCATTCGTTATGAATTTAGAGTAGTACGACATAAGTGTCACGATTATGGATAAATTTACCTTGAGAGAAATAATAAAAAAAACTGTGCAATACCAATGAACTGTTTGAAAATTTGGCAGAATTAACCGAATGATTTTAAAACGCGTATTAGTCGGCCCTGATCGTAAAAAGCTTGCCCAATCCCGCGCAGTATGGTTTCTCATTCACGCAAGCTTATTTTTTGTCAGTTGTTTATTTGAATTGCAAAAATAGAACATACAATAACTACAGCGTATGCGAGAGACCTCGCCAAGAGACGCCGAGGTCTCGCACTCGCCTCCGAGACATCAAAATACGTCAGAATTTTAGGCTTTTTTTTTCATCCCATGTCGTCGCCCATACGCTTGTGAAGTCAATGTACACATATTGATACTTGACAATAAACTGCATTTTAAACAAAGAATGTATGAAATACATCGCCTAGAAAGAGCATCCGAAACGATGATGGTTAATTAATAATACCTTCACTTCAGCGACGTATTATATACAATTTCTGACTTAAAATGACTATTAAACGAAACGCATGATTGCACTTGCCAATTTTCCACCGCCAAACCAACCTTTTACCAAAACCGGTTTAGCATCGCCCATAATTACATTTCACGTTCTTCGATGCAAAAAATGCTGCACTAAACCACTCAAAATCCATATATTCATTTTGAACTGCAAAGACACCAGAACTTTCGCTATATCACAACGCAGATCTTAATATATTTTCGATGCATTCAAGCTTTTAATCACGACTTTATACAATTTAGCGTTTGTACTATATTACTATCAAAAATGTAATATACATATATACAAACATTGTTAATAATTAATAAACTAGTAAACAAGTAAAATTCTGGTAATATAAAACAACATAGTTAATGGCAAAAAATTCAACTGCCAAACAATTGAAAAAAGATTTAGATTAGCACAAATCTTATTTCGTAATTCTAACCAAAACGGTAAAAAATAATATACTTATTAGAAATGACTGACGGCAACTGATTTTTTTTAATATATTACGGTTCCTTTTATTATATTATTATAACACAATACGGAAAAATGACTTTTATATCATTAAGTATAGAAACATACGTATCTCAAATAAAGATCACAAACAACTGTATTTCTTGCTCAAGCTATTATATAACAGGGTCGACTGGACTTTCTGCGGAGCCCCCAGTGCAAAACAGCAGCGAGGAGCCTCTTCCGAAGGCTCAAATAGCATTTGTTACTCATTGTCGTAACAAATAATAATACGTACATTAAATACGATTTATGAATCGACTTATATTTTATATAATTCACGCAGTTTTTGACTTAAAAAAATCGAAAATACAGTTAATCAGAGGAAAAGATTATTACAGAAATAAAAATTAAATGTCAAAGTACCGTACGTTCGTTCACTTTTATAGCTATAAAATAAAAAATTTTGCTCTTATTTTGAAGAAGAAACAATTTTATTGAAGCAAATGTAGATTTGCTTCAATAAAATTGTTTCTTCTTCAAAATAAGAGCAAAATTTTTTATTTTATAGCTATAAAAGTGAACGAACGTACGGTACTTTGACATTTAATTTTTATTTCTGTAATAATCTTTTCCTCTGATTAACTGTATTTTCGATTTTTTTAAGTCAAAAACTGCGTGAATTATATAAAATATAAGTCGATTCATAAATCGTATTTAATGTAAGTATTATTATTTGTTATAGAAGTGAAAAAGTATATTATTGTACTATAAACATTTAATTGTTATTATGATTTATTGATCGATTTGAAGAATTTCTTATTTAGTAAATGTAACATAGTTGAATTATAGCACTCAAATTTACCAAGGGCTTCTAAAGTTTGTGTTAATTGTATTTCACTCCAGAACATTGCAAATAGAAAAAAAATGTTTTTTTCTATTTTGAAATATTTTGGAAATTTTGAACTTTTTTCAAAGCAATCGCTCTGCTTTAGCTGCATAGAGACGAAATATGCTCTAAGCAATCGCACTGCTTTAGCTGCATAGAGACGAAATATCGAAGCGCGTAAGCGCTGCGTCGCCATATGACGGACGATGTTACGGAACCCATAGAAATGTAAACAAAATTGATACACATTATTAAAATCTCCATGAAATATCTGATAACTTGATGTGCATATGTCTAATGATCATTTTTGTTCGCCAAACGGCATTTTTTTTTACTTTTTTTGCTAAATCTCCGAATCCGCTAGACCTGCCTTCCGAAAAATTTAACCAGTTCTTCGTTCTTTGTTTTGAATTACATGTTAAAATCGGACGCCTCGTTTTCTTAAAAACTTAGTTACCGTTTTTGGCACTTTTTGCTCCTTATTTTCGGAATGGCTAGACCTGCCCTTTGCCAAAAACTAATCAGCACGCCTCCTTATCAATTCGAATCAAATGCTTTTTAATTATTCAAAAGCGGTGGATCGGTGTTACCAAAATCGTCGATGAAAATTTGTGCCCGCATACCCACACACACACAAACGAACATACACCCATTTTTTCTAAGGTATGCCAAAATGTTCAGAAACCTTTAAAACGTAAAGAAATATAAAAAAACTAGCAACTTAGCAACTTTTAAAATTATGACAATATAATTTGGAAATTTTATTCCACACTTTGTTTTTAATTTTCATTATTACACTGTTCGTAGGCCTATAATATTTTAGGTTAGGATATTCATTAAAAACATAAACTCTATCTATCGCCGTACATAAATTATTCAAAATAGCCAAAAAATTACGAAGAGACAATCGAAAACTAATCTGCACGATTTCAACTTATATTTTTCGAACGGTTTTTAAATTTTCAAACTCGATTCTGGACATTTTTCGAAAACGTCTACAAAATGCTGCACTTCCAGCTAAGTCTAAAGAAAAGGATCGGCACACACAATCTTTTTCCAATTATGGTGTCAAATGGTTCAGAATGAATTCAAACAGAGAAAAGAAAGTTAGCAAATTCGATTAGCTGTCAAAAACGAACTTCTTCAACTACTGAGTCAAATAATAAAGTTAATCATTTCATCAGTACGTAATGAAGTCTGAAAAAATTATAGATAGATCCAGTAAATGAATAAAAAATATAAAAAAGCCCTAACGTGAAATACATTTTCAGATACTACACTACTGGTATTCAAAATTCTATTAAAATAACACATTTTTTCCATTTCATTTGATGAGTGCGTAACTCAATTTTCGAACCATGGCGAGCTTTTATTTCTTAGAAATATATTTTATTTCACATTTATATTATTATTAACTTCCCGTAGGGTAAGTTATAGTAATCGCAAAAAAATCGAAAATGAAAATGTTTATATATCTTTACGTTTCAGAGGTTTCTGAACATTTTGGCATACCTTAGAAAAAATGGATGTATGTGTGTGTGTGTGTGTGTGTATGTATGTATGTGTGTGTATGTATGTACGGATACAAATTTTCGTCGACGATTTCGGGAACACGGATCAACCGATTTGAATAATTCAAAAAACATTCGATTTGTACTGATAAGGAGACGTGCTGATTAGTTTTTGGCGAAGTTAGGTCTAGCCGTTCCGAAGATACGGGGCAAAAAGTGCCGAAAACGGTAACTCAGTTTTTAAGAGAACGGAGCGTCCGATTTGAATAATTCAAAAAACATTTTACTTGTATTGGCAAGATGAAGAGTTGATCAAATTTTCATGAAGGCAGGTCTAGCGGTTTCGGAGATCTAATGAAAAAAGTAAAAAAAAATGCCATTTGGCGGTTAAAAATGATGATTAGACATATGCACATCAAATTATCAGATATTGTATAGAAATTTTAACAATAAGTATAATTTTTTTTACATTTCTATGGGTTCCGTACCAATGTTTATGCGTTAGACGGCGGCGCGGCACTTGCGCTGTGACAATTCGTCTCTATGCAGTTCAAGCAGTACGATTGCTTTGAAAAAAAGTTCAGAATTTCCAAAATATGTCAAAATGAAGAAAACATTTTTCTTTTCAAAAAAATAGTTTGTTTTCAAAAAAAAAAATTTTTCTTTCAAAAAAATATTTTTTTTTTCAAATAAAAATTTTTTTTTCAAAAAAAAGTAATTTTTTGTCATATTCCTAGTTTCTCAAAAATCTAATTATTTCGAAGTAAATTTTTTTCAAAAATGTTAATCGTTTTTAAAAAAATAATAATTTTTGGTACGGGAAGTTCCAGCAATTTGCCTTAAGGCACGATGCCCTAATTGCCTTAAGACAGAATTCCACTTACAACTAGTTTTATGTTACATTGCATATAATACGACGATGACATCAGCAGCTAGCAATATTTTCTAAGAAAGTTATATTTCGATTACGTGAGTTTCTAAAAAAATTAGATCGAAGAAGTGAAGTGCAGCAAACATGTGAGGCATTTAATGTCATTTTTCTTCTTATATCGATAATAAAGCTGCATTATAGCCAATTATCGTTTATTGTGATATGTTCCAACAATAAGCAAAATTTGTAGATATATTTCAGGCGAAGGTTTTATTCGTTGAACTAATTGATAGCATTTTTTACAAAATGCGAAGTTTCTCGAAAAATGTTAATATTTATTATAATATGAAGAGAATGCGTGAAAAGACTTATTCAGTATTAATTCAAGAATTCAATTAGCAATTCTAATATTAAAATGCATCACGTGGCATTTTTCCAATTATATAATTCACAATTGCATGGAAGTACAATTTATAAAAGATGCCATAAACGACGGAGTAACCAATTATGTGCTCTAGTTAATTGATGTTCCAGCAAAAGAGTGACTTGACAATCAATCATAGTTCAAGTTAAACAAAAACTTAAGTGAACAACACTCAAAAGAAAGTGCACTGAGCGTTTCTTAAAT